GCTGCCCTGAGGTGCAGTCGGGACACTTAATCACGAGCCAGGGTGCTCCCCTATCGGGAAGGGAGAGCTTCAGGCCCCTTAGGGGGAGCTCGGGCCCTTGGGAGAGCTTGGGACCTTCCATATTTGGTGGGAGTCAAAATTGGCCAGGCGTTGGTCCCCGGCGAGTTGCTTAACTCGCCAAGTGGCCAGCGTTGGACTCGACGTGTTTCTCCCGTCGAGTTGCGGTCGTGTTGTCAGGCTGAGTTGTACACTGGGCCAAGTCATGTACACGTGTCCCCGGGCTACGAGGTCGGCCAAATCGCCCTTCATCAATTGCCCCCCACTCCCCATGCTGGGGGTGGCGACCCAGCGTGGAGAGTTCATGACCCGCCGGGTGGATTTGGCTTGGTTCTCGTGCCATTCTGTCGGGTGGCTCATTGGCCAGACCGCTCCGAAACTCGGTTCGTTCGAAAGGAAGACCTAGGTCTCGTACAACTTAAGCGTGGATGTCATGCGATATGGACTTTGTGGACACCAAAAAATGCGCTTAATTGATTTCGCCTTGAGAGTCCCGCAGCCAGTTTTCTTGAGGACCATTAGATCGCTTCGATCCTGGCCATTTGCGCATGGGCCCATCGGCTATAAATATCAGGGGACCTTGGTCATTTTCTTTCGCCACTAAGTACCTTTCGTCTACCGTAAGCTCGCATATGGGGTCTTCAGCTCGGGTCTCCTAATCCGGTTGCGTCGTTTTCCTGGTGAGTCCCCGAGTTTCCCTTTCTCCTTTTTTCCTCAGTTCATTCCCTTCCATGTCTAGCGGGGACAGTCTTTTAGACGAACCCGAGGTGGGTACCTTGGGTTGGGGTGACCTTGCCGTCGCCCATCCTTCCCACGAGGCTCGGGTGACCTCGAGCAAACTGACGTCTACCTCTCGTCGAGGTCGGGTGCCGGACCAGTTCGGTCCACCCGTCATGATGCAGGAGAGGCTTCAGCACCTCATCCAGCAATTCAACCTACCCCAGGAGTACTCGTACAGTCTTCCCACCGGCAACTTCCCTTTGGAGCACGGTCCAGATGAGATCGTGATCTTCAAGGAACAACTAGTTGGCGGGCTTCGTCTCCCACTCCCCCGCCTTATTCCCGAGGTGTTGAGGCGCTTCAGCATCACGCTAGACCAACTCCACCCCAATTCTATTCGGAACCTAGTCGGGACGATCTCCCTCTGATCCGAACAAAACTTTACTCTGGACGCAGATATCCTCTGCTTCATCATGCTAATAAAAAAGAGTGCCTCTAGCGCTCCACTCGAGCACGGGCAGGCCTACTACCTGTCCCCTCGCCCGGGTTTCAAAATGCTACACAAGTTCCCAAGCAAGGACCCGGCCTGGAAGCGGGACTACTTTGTAGTCCGGAGCAGCACGGAGTGGCCATTCCTTACCAACTGGAGGGTGGCCACTCAAGCTCCCAACATTGCTCTTAACCGGAAGACGTGGGAGACCTTTCATTCATGGGCTCAGGTCGGGTTCGATCACAAGGACTACATTGCTAAAGAAAAGCTCATTCAGACCGGTTTGAGCCCGGGTAGGTCGATTTCCACTTTAGCGTTTTGTTCAATCCGCCTAGTGTCTTCGAATTTTACTAACGCTGAGCTCTGTTGCAGGTCCTATGGAGGAATAGAGGATTACCGGTCCGAGGCTCCTCTGTCAGATGAAGAAGAGAAAGAAGCGGGCTGCCAAGAAGGCGCGCGTGGAACCCTCAAGGACCCCTACCCCTGAACCCGATCTCCCTCAGGTCCCCTCCTCGGGGCCCGAGCTCCCTAATACCCCTCCCGTGATAGACTTGGAGGGGGACTTACCACCTTGGGGACCTGAAACGGTGACAGAGTCGATTGCTGAGCCAGCCGAGGCTGCCGCTGAAGTCCCAAATCCCGCCAGGGCTGCTGTTGAGGCCCCAAATCCTGTCGGGGCTGCTGCCTAGGTTTCCGAGGGATCGACCCATCGTGCCGCAGATACGGCGACGTCCAACTCAGAGACTGAGGAGGAGGCAAAGAGCATTATGAATCCCGATATCAGCCTTGAAAGAAGTAAGGGGGCTGTTATCACCGCGGAGGTTGTGGATTGGGCCGAACTCTCTCCTGGTCAGCTCAGGGCCCGCACTGCAACCCATGCCATGGTGGTGAGTTCACTCCCTAGTAGCCACCTCTCTCTCTCCCTTCTTTCCTTCCTCTTTCTTTAGTACTGACCAACCCCCTTCTGCTAGGTGAACACCGCTGTGCTCGCGCTGACCTTCCAGTCTGACAAACACTTGAGGCGTGCTCTAGCTGTTGAGGAGTCATCTCGCGCGGCTCACACGAAGCTGAGGGTAGCTTGGGGCAAGATTCACTAGTTGGAAAGTAACGCTACTGCCCAGAAGAGCTCTATCGAAGCCCTACTGTTGGAGAAGGAGGAACTGGCCCCCGAGAGGGATAGGCTGAAGGCCGAGGTGAACGGGCTCAGAGCGGGTCAAGAAGCCTTGAAGCTCGAGGTGGAGAGTCTCAAGGCGTGTTAGAGGGCTTCACAGCTTGAGGTACAGGGGCTCAAAGAAGCGAAGGGGGCCTTGGAGCATGAGGTGGAGTACCTCAAGGCCGACATTAAGGAGAAGACAGAGATCTTCGACGAAGCTCTCGAGAAGGCGAAGGCCCAGGCCGTTATCGACTATGTCAAGTTGTCTAGATTTGACAATGTAATGTCGAAGGCCTACCGTAGGGGGTTCAAGCTCGGTAGGTGGTGGATAAGGCGCGCATACCCTGACCTTGACATAAGTGACTTCACCACTTATAATATTACAGACGACATGGCCCGTCAAGCCACGGATGACCCAGATTCCGACGATGAGGGCGGCGACGAGGAGGCCGATACTACCGACTTGGCTGACACCCCCGAGGAGGCCTCTGAAGAGGCCCCGAGTAAGGCTGATAAGCCTTCTAAATAGTTGTGTTATCCTTGTATTCCCCTTTTCTTGTTTCTTTGTATTTGGGATTCTGTAATGAAATCACGTTTATGACCCAGATTTTGTAACGAAATCACATTTGTAATGAAATCGCATTTCTTGTTTCTTTGTATTCTCCTTTGTGTGATTCACTTCTGCCGGAGTGTTTGCTTTATCTGAGCTGTTGAGTTAGTAAATTCAGTCCTTGAGGTGAGCGACCCTTTACCGCTGTCACCCCGAACTGTCTTCCTACACTTAGTAGGGGTGATCATCAGGTTTTAGCGACGAACGCCGGGGTAGGCATAGTAAGGCGTGTGCCCAACCTGCCTGCTTAGCTATTTAGGTTGGCGTTTACCTCTAGCCGCGCATACCGAGGTAGGCTAGGAGTCAAAAGGTCTGTTCTCGAGACGCCTTTGGTCTTTGGCGTGCTAAGCCTATGCTGGCGAGGCAGTAGAGTCATGTATAGCGCCGAGGTCTTTAGTTAACCTAGTGCGTTGACCCTTAGGCTGGGGGAGTGACTCGTGGTCACACCAAACTGTTTTCCTGGGTACTTGTTTCCCTTCTGGAAGAATATAGTTCGGTGGTTCACGGGTAATATAGTCTTAGGTTGACGATATTCCACGCCCGAGGTACTTGTTTCCCTTCTAGGGTTTCGAGTTCTTATGTTCCTTCCCCGAGTACTCGCTTTACTTGGTAGGGTCCTTCCCAGTTCGGACCGAGCTTGCCAACAAGGGCTCAAGCACCATAACCTTGCAGAGAACTAGGTTGCCAACGCAGAGAGTTCACTTTTTGACCTTGGCGTTATAGTACCGAGCTATCCTTTGTTGGTAGGCCGTGGTCCTAATATACGAGAGGTCCCGTACTTCGTCTAGCAGGTCGAGGTTGGTACGTAGCTCGTCTTCGTTAGCTCTGTCTTCATATGCTTCTAGTCTCAATGAGGGGACTTCAATCTCAGCTGGGATGACTGCTTCAGTGCCGTATGTAAGGTTAAAGGGAGTTTCTCTTGTGGCAGTCCTTTCCATGGTACGGTAGGCCCAAAGTACACTGGGCAGCTCGTCCGTCCACAGTCCCTTAGCTCGGTCCAGGCGCGCTTTCAGTCCTTAAAGGATAGCCCTGTTTGTAACTTCCGTTTGGCCATTCGCCTGAGGGTGCGCCACCGAGGTGAAGTTTTACTGAATTCCCATGTCTCGGCACCAGTTTTGAAACTTGATGT